TACATCGTAACACCAGTAATCAAAGTGCAAATTAGTTATTTTTTCCAATCATAACATGGACTGAGGGGAAGATGTTTTTATATTATTTTAAACACAACAAGCGATGACAGCCTCTAGTGGATTACTGCTAGTAAAAAGTGAGTGATTTTTGGGTCATTGGACCAATTTCCAGAAGTGAGTGCTTTTTCCACTCCACTTGTTGTGTTTTGTCGACAGAGCTCTCTCTCTCAGGATGAGTCATGCCATGCTAACCTCAAAACCCATCAAACCTCAGCTCTAAAAGCTGTCCACAGAATATATATGCTTTTTTATCTGATTAATTGCACTTTTCATAACTGTACAAAGAGAGGAGAAATAAAAGGAATACAGCTATTGTACCAAAAACATCAGATATTCTTAAGCTCCATTGAGCCACACTGAGATCAGCATGTAGCCTTGACTGTTATCCTCCTCAACATCATCTCTCTCTTTTACGTTTGCACACAGATAATTCACTACTAGCGATAATATGAGTCATGAATACAGTTCTGTGTATTGTGTGAATTACACAATATGTGGGTTTTTTATTTATCCATGTCTCTTGGTGTTACTATGCAAGTTGTCATGATTGAGTATGCCTCTGCACAAATGTTGCCTAGTAACATTACAGTAGTGGCAAACCGTCAGGACCTTCAAGGTATTCAGAGAATACCCTGGAACACTCAGATAAAACCAACAAAAAATCGATTTAATTATATAAATAAAATGTATATAAAATGAATAAATGAGAATCATATCTGTGTTGTTGGTCTGTAATATTACAGTGTTACGTTGATTTGTTTGTCCTTCTCGGACCATGCTCTACGCATTTCAGTGGTTTTGTGTTAGAAAAGAAAGCAACCAATCAGATCTTGTTCTGGGTCTCTGGGTAGAATATCCTTCAACAAGGTATTCTACATCCTTGATAGAATGCTCTGGCCGTTGCACCGAATGAGAGCGTACTTTTGGACTGACAGTTCGATCAACCAATCATATATTGATTTGTAACCAATGGGCGTGTTCTTTCAGAGTTCCCCTCGGTTCCAGGGTATTCTAGAAGGCCCGCTCGTTAACTGGCTCGAGACAGAGGATCTAGATGAATGCGATGAAGCAATTCATGCCGTTTTATTGCTTCTAACGTTGAAATGACAAGTGCAACAGGTGAAGATGAAGTTGTTGCGGAATTGTTGTGAGTACCCTTTTCAAGACGACAATTCAGTGAAAAGACGGACATTATAATGCCGCGGAGGGGGGGGGGTGTGGGGGGGTGTGTCTACAGAACGTCCAGTTGTGATAGACACGGTTCGCCACTGCACAGTGTATTGAACTTAACCAGTTGAGCCCTGAGCCTGTTTTTCAGGCCTCAGGCTCGAAAATGACATTCCCAGAACAAATGACTTTATCTTCACTTCTAAAAGGGGTTGCCATTAATAATTGTATATTTCTCTAGGGCATAAACATTGATAGTATACCTACACTATGGCATAATAGTCAAGCCAAGATGAGGTTATCCTAATTCTCTACTCAATCTACTCCCCAAAAATAAATGGTAACGCTTTTTTGTCTTGTGCTAAAACTTTAATTTGTGGAATAGACAATAATTTCAATAACATGACAACCAAAGCTATTTATCAAACAAAATTGGCCAACTTCTGCTGGTTTGAGTTATTGAAATGTAAGGATTTTAGTTTTTGTTCTCATTTATATCATTAGAAATTGAGTACTCTGATTGTTGCACTGTTTCTGGAAACTAAACGATCTTCAGTTTTTAAATTATTATTCAATAACATTTGACGATTTTCAACACTGTCTGATGAACTTTAAACCAATCGATTAATCCGGAAGAAAGCGAGAAAGATATACTGGAATTGTTCAGTTTAGTTGTAGCTCTCCCCCTCCAATCATCGCTTCGTCTACTGGAAGTGCATCTGTTACTTGAAAACGGATGCTTGTCCATTAAAATGTTCTGCAGAATCCACGCCCTGCACCTAAAGCTGCTCCATCACGCTGCCTCGGCTGTTGTTGTTGTTGGCGGCGAGATGTTTAAAATGAGGCGCCTGACAACAGATAACATCTGAAAGGCACTGAATCCATTATGGCGGTTGATGTTCCAGGAAAGGGTGAGGAGGAGAGAGACTAGTCTGGAGGTTTGGAGTTAGAAAGGGCAGGAAAGGAGGGAGGTGAGAGGAGACAAAATGGGGGAGACAGGAGACGCCGTTTCCTCAATCTCAGTCTCTCAGCGCTGGGGTTGCATTGATTTTTAAGAAGGTCCACAATAAGAGAAAAATTAAGTTTTGCTTTTAATTCTTTGGAGAGGAAATATTCTGCTAATTTCCAGGGTCATATTTGTATTTAGTGCCTTTACTGTGACATGTTTCCATGCTTTAATGTTCAAAAAGCTCTTTATTTTTCTCATACTGCCACTTTGTGATGTCCCGCCCCTTAGCTTATCACATACAATGTGTGTGTTACATAGTGATGTCACTTTGTTCCTGAAGTAAACAAAGGAGTCTAACGGAGGCATCCAGGAGAGGGAAAAACTGAAGGATAATAGGGTTTCTTTTAAGGTGCACTAGACACTTCATCAATATATTTACGTTTAGTGTAGATCTGCTTTAATTGTGATTCATCAGTTTCAGATAATATTAACAGAAACAGACTTAGCAGGTGATCCAAACAAAAAGCTGAACTCTCCGACTAATATTTCCATTACAATACTTAAAAATAAACAAAGAGGGAGTAAAAGACGAAACCGCTTTCTGGGCAAGCCTTTCAAAACATTCAAAACTCAAATGATCAGAATGTAGCTTTTAATGCCAACGCCACAATGCTGCCGACGGTGGCATGCCAACACATAATGTAACATTAGCCACAGTGTTGGCGCCTCTCAGTAACAAAACGGAGTCTTTCTCCACTTCTTTTTTAGGCAGATGGAGCGATGCATGCTTCATGTCTAAATGTGTGTGTGCACATGTGAGAAGAGCCAGCTGCAGTCGCATTAATCCACGACATCGCTGCCATAACGTTCCTCGATTATGAGGATAATTCACACAGCTGGAAGGCACGACCGCCAATCAAATTAACCGGCCAATTACACTTCTAGCGTGCCGCGCGAAAAACGCAACCGATTACCTGCACTTGTCCAGATGTGAGCTGAAGGTAGAGCCAGATGTGAAGACGTGAAGTCTGCGGTTGGTAAATTACAACTCAACTTCGGTATGTAAATGGAGAGTTATGGAAATGTGAATGGCCCTTTTAATATCAGCAGTAAAGACGGATGAGATTTTAACAGCTGCTTTGTGAAGAGTAACGCTCAGGACTGTAGAGTTAGCGCTGATAGCAAACATCCTGCTGAGATCATTCTTCACAGGAAGGAGAACCTCTGATTGAAACTACATCTGTTTTCTTCCTGACACACAGAGGGTCAAAGGTGATTTGGAGGAAGGTATCGTCAGTGGTTATTGTTGAGGAGACGGGAAGATATCTGGAATAATGCCAGAACGATATCCATATGTTCCAGAACAAAAGTTGAGTATCACACACAGGATATATACGGTAAATCCCCCTCATCAGAGGCACTGTTTTAACCCCTCAATTACCCCCATATGTCCAAGAGCCACCATGCTGTAAACTGCAGAAACACTGGTCAAAAGGTTCACAGACAGAACTGCTGTCTTTGACTTTTAGGAATAAATCTAACTTCTGCTGAAGATTATATAATGTCCTACATTTCACTGCTAGGATAAATATATTACTTGATGGACTAGTGAAAAGGGCTCATCTCTTAAGTTGTATTTCAGTTGGTTCCTTTTGAATATCTTACACATATTCTACATCTCAAATCTGACCAGTTCTATAACATCTTGCAACCTTACTTCAATTTCTGTGGGCCTGATTTGTCAGCTTTGATTTTAAAAAGGACCTCCTGAACTGTGTCTCCTGCAACATCCTGTGCATTTAAAAAAAAAACTAAGAATTGTTTCTACTACAGGGCACAATCCAAAAATTAGGACTTTGGAGCATTGACTGAGAACAATGATGAAGTGTGTGTGACAGATTCAAGTCTTGGCTAAGGAGAAAAACAAGTGAATTCAAGAGTACTGTCACATTGTAAGCCACCATGTTTGCTAAAGCACAGCCATTATCCATCCTTATGTATCCTTTCATTTTGATGGATCCGCAAATGCTCTTCTTAAAAAACTGTATTGTCACTGTCTCTGACGTTCTATCTCCTCCACCTAGCAGAGAGCACTGTCTTCACTCTTATCAGTTATACGTTTATGTGAAAAGATATGTGTAAAGATTCAGGTTACAATGTTTTAACAAGTATGCATATACTAATAGATAGAAAACAGCTAGATAATGACTTAACTAGGAGAGTTTATCTGCTTTCAATCAGATTTTGCTGGCATGATATATTAGGCTATACAAAGGCAAATGTCTCGATTATAGCTCATGTGTCAAAGATTCTGTGCACTGACTGCAGTTTTCCCCTAAAAAAACAGAAACTAAGCGACTGTTTGTAATTCACCTCACATTTGAGAGCGAGGCTGCGGCACAACGGCCAGACTGACAACCTTATCCACAGCCGAGAAATAAAGCTAACTCCCTTGTGTTTCCACCTTCTCTGAGAGAGTGATGGAGTGAATTATTCTGCAGCTCCAACAGTCCATACTGATGAACCGTGAAATTGTGATTTGTTGGAGCAACTCTGGATGGAGATTGAAATTAGTGTTACTGACTAACAAGTATATGCACCACTAGTGACCGGCACTTTAATAGACCAGCTACTAGTTGATTCCCTAAATGCATGCATGAACTTTCGTTTAAACCCCAACCGAGTCATGATGAAATCGGTGTTTCTAGATGCAGAGATGAATAACATCCCGGCTAAGGGGAGTTTCAGCTAATGTAAGGAGTAGGAGCTGTTAAGAAGGAGGAAGTGGATTAAATTGTAGGGTGGTGTTGGGGTGAAGTCTTACCAAATCTCTGGGGCTCTGCATCTGCGGCTCAGCGTTCTAGAGGATGAAGAAGAAACACAATTATTCAAGCAAAACATATTTATTGACTGGAACAAGTGAAAATTAAAGGGGCCCTAATATGCTGATGTTCAGGTGTATATCAGTATGTAGTGTCTCTACTTTAAAGAGTCCTCTCCTGCTGATGTTCAGGTGTATATCAGTATGTAGTGTCTCTACTTTAAAGAGTCCTCTCCTGCTAATGTTCAGGTGTATATCAGTATGTAGTGTCTCTACTTTAAAGAGTCCTCTCCTGCTGATGTTCAGGTGTATATCAGTATGTAGTGTCTCTACTTTAAAGAGTCCTCTCCTGCTGATGTTCAGGTGTGTATCAGTATGTAGTGTCTCTACTTTAAAGAGTCCTCTCCTGCTGATGTTCAGGTGTATATCAGTATGTAGTGTCTCTACTTTAAAGAGTCCTCTCCTGCTGATGTTCAGGTGTATATCAGTATGTAGTGTCTCTTCTTTAAAGAGTCCTCTCCTGCTGATGTTCAGGTGTATATCAGTATGTAGTGTCTCTAATTTAAAGAGTCCTCTCCTGCTGATGTTCAGGTGTGTATCAGTATGTAGTGTCTCTAATTTAAAGAGTCCTCTCCTGCTGATGTTCAGGTGTATATCAGTATGTAGTGTCTCTAATTTAAAGAGTCCTCTCCTGCTGATGTTCAGGTGTATATCAGTATGTAGTGTCTCTACTTTAAAGAGTCCTCTCCTGCTGATGTTCAGGTGTATATCAGTATGTAGTGTCTCTAATTTAAAGAGTCCTCTCCTGCTGATGTTCAGGTGTGTATCAGTATGTAGTGTCTCTACTTTAAAGAGTCCTCTCCTGCTGATGTTCAGGTGTATATCAGTATGTAGTGTATCTACTTTAAAGAGTCCTCTCCTGCTGATGTTCAGGTGTATATCAGTATGTAGTGTCTCTTCTTTAAAGAGTCCTCTCCTGCTGATGTTCAGGTGTATATCAGTATGTAGTGTCTCTACTGTGACATGTCTCCATTCTGTAATGTTCAAAAAGCTCTCTCATACTGCCTGTGCTGCAGCACCTCTTTTCACCCTCTGTCTGAAACCAGAGCCCAGTCTGCTCTGATTGGTTAGCCGGTTCTGTTGTGATTGGTCAACCGCTTAGAGATGTCCCGCCCCTTATCACGTACAATGTGTTGGAGCGCTAGCCAATAGAAGCTCTAGGGTTTTATAGTGATGACACTTTGTTACAAAAGTAAAAACAGGAGTCGAAAGGCAGGGGAACTTTGTGATTTTAGCCTTTGCAGACCATTGACAGGCACACAAACATATATATTAAACACTATAGGAAAGGGATAAACCGAAAAGCATAATAGGGACTCTTTAAAGAAAACAAGAAGCTGTGGAAAGGCTTATGGATAACTGGAAGCAGTGTGATGAGTAAAGGGAGATGCAGAACGAGAACATGATCAATCCCAGCAGACAGATGGGTGGTGGGAAGTGTGCGCTCAGACTTCAAATATAAACTGTGGGTCAGAAACAACTGCAGTGTTTGCAAGGACAGAAGGACAGTCTCCCACTGAGGACAGACTGTACCACGCACACTTTAACACACTCAGTCTGATCTCTTCTCTGAACGGAGACCTCTTCCTGTCCAGTTGCTGTAATCCATAAGAAACTCTCACTTTATACAGAAAGCTTTCGCCAGATGAAAAGCAAAAGAGGTTAACTAATCTATGTGAGCAACAGGCAGGGCATCGTGGACAGCTTTACTCACATATTCATCGATGAAGGAATTGCATGACGGACGCTTTGAACAAGACTTTGTTTACTGAGCTTTGATCTTGAAACATTTGCACTTAGTCTGATATTCCTATATTCAGCATGCCCTGAACAAGGTCGACAAACATACTAGTGATACTGAGGAAACTGTCCTATTTTAACTTTGACAAAACCATGATGATCATGTTTTATCGTGTTTTTATCGAGTCAATTCTGTCTTTTTCACTAATGTCATGGTTTTGGAACCTGACTTTAAAGAGCAGAAACTCTCTCAGTCAAATCATAAAGGGGTCCAGCAGGCTGATTGGTGAGCCACAGCTAAACCTGGAGACCCTGTACCCCAGGCAGTTACAGCTAAACCTGGAGACCCTGTACCTCAGGCAGTTACAGCTAAACCTGGAGACCCTGTACCTCAGGCAGTTACAGCTAAACCTGGAGACCCTGTACCTCAGGCAGTTACAGCTAAACCTGGAGACCCTGTACCTCAGGCAGTTACAGCTAAACCTGGAGACCCTGTACCTCAGGCAGTTACAGCTAAACCTGGAGACCCTGTACCTCAGGCAGTTACAGCTAAACCTGGAGATCCTGTACCTCAGGCAGTTACAGCTAAACCTGGAGACCCTGTACCTCAGGCAGTTACAGCTAAACCTGGAGACCCTGTACCTCAGGCAGTTACAGCTAAACCTGGAGACCCTGTACCTCAGGCAGTTACAGCTAAACCTGGAGACCCTGTACCTCAGGCAGTTACAGCTAAACCTGGAGACCCTGTACCTCAGGCAGTTACAGCTAAACCTGGAGACCCTGTACCTCAGGCAGTTACAGCTAAACCTGGAGACCCTGTACCTCAGGCAGTTACAGCTAAACCTGGAGACCCTGTACCTCAGGCAGTTACAGCTAAACCTGGAGACCCTGTACCTCAGGCAGTTACAGCTAAACCTGGAGACCCTGTACCTCAGGCAGTTACAGCTAAACCTGGAGACCCTGTACCTCAGGCAGTTACAGCTAAACCTGGAGACCCTGTACCTCAGGCAGTGACAGCTAAACCTGGAGACCCTGTACCTCAGGCAGTTACAGCTAAACCTGGAGACCCTGTACCTCAGGCAGTTACAGCTAAACCTGGAGACCCTGTACCTCAGGCAGTTACAGCTAAACCTGGAGACCCTGTACCTCAGGCAGTTACAGCTAAACCTGGAGACCCTGTACCTCAGGCAGTTACAGCTAAACCTGGAGACCCTGTACCTCAGGCAGTTACAGCTAAACCTGGAGACCCTGTACCTCAGGCAGTTACAGCTAAACCTGGAGACCCTGTACCTCAGGCAGTTACAGCTAAACCTGGAGACCCTGTACCTCAGGCAGTTACAGCTAAACCTGGAGACCCTGTACCTCAGGCAGTTACAGCTAAACCTGGAGACCCTGTACCTCAGGCAGTTACAGCGGTTATCCAGCTCCATATTAGACCATGACTCCCACCCTCTGCACTCAGAATTCAAGCTTCTTCCTTCGGGCCGGAGGTTACTTGTCCCAAAGAGTAGAACGAAGCTGTATAAAAACAGTTTTATCCCAGCAGCTATTGCACAGATTAAGTGTCACACAGAGTTTTCCTTCTTAAAATGTTTCTGAACTATGTTGAGATTTGGTTGAGCAGGGTATGCTTGTACTTTTTACGAGTCCTTTTATTAGAGATGTGTCTGGTGTTTGTTCTTAGTGTCAGGATGGATCCCTTGTCTTTTTCTCTGCCAACAAAATGTACCTGCGGGTACAAATAAATAACCTGAAGCTGAATAATCTTTTGAGGCAATTAACTCAATCTTAACTTTGATTTAAAACTGACGTGTGTGTATATATAATCTTACAAAAATCAACTCAATTTGATCAATCCAAAAATAATAGGCTGGGGTTTTACTTCATTAAAAAAAACTAAATGTGATTTTGCTTAAAATGTGCAATGCATTAATGATAGCCACTAGCTTAGTAATTTAAATGTGCATTGGCAATTCTTAGTAACTAATGTCATGATTAAATGTTATTTGCAGGGTTATTATAATTTCAAAAAAGGTGATCAAATAGGAAGTCTAAACAAAGCATACTATTGTAGTTATAGCAATGCACATAGCAAGTCTTTTGTTGGAGTACCATTCATGTGGAAAGCTTAATAACTAATTGTATTTCATTACATTATTTGGTTTAATACATTTTTAGAAATGTCTTCAAATAGGAAGTCCAGCTTGTCAAATAACTAAAGGATCAAAAACACAAATGAATATACGGTCTGTTGTTTTACACATGCTGCAGTTTCTAGCTCTATATAATATAACAGCTGTTGACTTTGTGTTTTTCATTACACTCCATTAGGGTTAATGTATGAAACTCAGCAGCTGCCATTTTTAATCAAACTAATTGGCCAAGGAAAAAAGTGCTTTTTCTTTTTAAAAAGCGTGTCTTGTCTAGGGCTGAACGATTAATCGATTTTAAATCGAAATCGCGATTTGAAATGATGCGATTATCAAATCGCAAAGCCTGCGATTTTTTGTAACATATTTTTTATTTTACTTTTTTTTTTATTTTTTTTACAATTATTATTTTTTGTTCTTCTTGTGTGTCAGTCATCCACACCAATCAGAAGTGCTGTGCTCCACATGTACCAGCCATTGCTAACCAATCAGAAGCGGCCCATGATAGAAGGTGATAGACAGATTGATCCAATCACCTGCCAAGTGCTTCTGAAAGTGCCTGCCCTTTCCAAATGGCTTCCAATGGAGCTTTAGATGGTTTGGTGAAACAAACCATCTGAGTCAGGTTAGTAATGCTCCATCATATGTTTCTATTACAGGGTGAATCTTAAACTGAAGCTTGACTTTAAAGCAACCCAACGGAAGTTTCATGTAAGTTTAGTTCTTTCACTCGTAGCTCGGGCTGCGGGGGTGCTAGAGACGGGAGTACGTTGATACGACCTTCCTAGCCGGAGTTATGGCCCCATTTTACAATAAACTTCCGTTGGGTCGCTTAAAAACAAATATCGCAAATCGAATCGCAATATTTGTCAGAAAAATCGCAATTAGATTTTTTCCCAAAATCGTGCAGCCCTAGTCTCCTTTGTTTTTACTACTTTACAATGTATGTATTGCTATATTTTCATGAAATGACATGCTATTTTTTACGCCCTCTCTCTTAAACCCATGGAAAATGCTTAGCCCTGCACAAAGCTTTGGATAAAGACCCTCGCTGCTCATTTTGTTCGCTGGACCTCATTTTGTTCGCTGGACCTCATCTCCCTCGAGTCACATCTCCACCCTTTCACATCTCCCTCTCCCTCTCCCCTCTCCCCGGCTTACGACCACAGATCAGATCAATCCTGCCGTCTAACTAGCAGCCATGCAGAGTCAGCTGGACTCAGAAACCCAGCGCTCTAATCTGAAGATGAGTATCGACCATGGGCACTTCCTCTCATCAAACCAGGCCCGTGGCGACAGACAGCCAATAGGGTCTCTGCGTCTCCTGCTGTGATAATTGTCACCAATCAGCCGTTTGATTGACACTCCTTGCAGGCGAACTGCTGCTTGTGCCTCTAATGATGAGGAAGGTGCTGGGTGAGACCATTTTTTACGACAACAGAGGGGGGTTTTAAGGCTGTTTGCGGCCATAACTCATGTTGCAACTCGATGAAGCGTGTGTTAAAGCCAGGAGAGATAGCAGAGAATCATTGACGTCGATGTGGAGTAAACACCAATTTGATTAAAAGCTTGCTAACGCTGAAAGAATATATATATATGTATATATATATGTATATATATATGCGATTAGGTTTTAGTGTTCTGCCGCCTTGATTTTGCTTTGACCATTACAACTTAGACGTAGCCATATGTGTGGTTGATCAAACCTGATTTTCTGCAAAGGTAATTACACATAACATCTGGCATCATGTTAAACACAACCTTAAAGAAAGCAAACAGTTGTAACAAACGCACTAATGTAATGTGTGCATGAATTACTGAAGCTCAGAGTGACATCTGTCCGGACTGAGTGACAGCAGCAGCGACACAAAGGCTGAGTGTAGTTGTTTGTAAGATGTAATGTGGGAGTTTTTTGGTCCTTATTGATATTCAAGCCAAGTGTGTTTTTCACTCTGCCCTGCGTCTGTCTGTTCATCCCAACATCCATCAATCTGGAGAGGAGGCTCGGAGGAGAAACGCAGCGAGAGACGGAGCAGCAGAGAGAGGGAGAGGGAAACAAAGAGAGAGGAAGGAAGAGGTCGAAAGGGAGGGTGACGGATAAAGAAAAACAGACCTTTGTGCTATATACCCGAGTCCAATGTATGTTTCTCTCAATTCATTTACAATCGGCCAACAGTACCTCTTTAAATTCATATGGTCTCTTTAAAAAACCATGGTTTACTTATGTGCTATTTTTTTGTTTAACTCAATGTGTTTTTCATTATTAATAACCTGTGGATACTGAGTTATCATTTTTTATTTTTTAATAGAGAGAGAGATGGATAAGATAAGACTTTATTAATCCTGAAGGAAATTGTTGTGCCAGAGTTACAGAAATACAATAAACCCAGCAGCATAATAGTGAAACTGTACACTAACAGTGCCGTAAAAGAGTAATTAATTATCTACAGGAAACAGACACGGTATTATATATATAATATATATATATATATATAATATTCACATTAATGATGTCATTAATGTGAATATTAACAGTATTTAGTAGTGCAAAAAAAACGTAGTGGCAGATACGTAATTGCACGTTATCATAGCACATTATCAATAATAATAATATTGCACATAGCAGCGAGTGTTTGATCTGCACTATACTTCTGCTTTCCCGGCTGCGGGACACATAAAGGAACTCTGCTTCTGACCGGTAAGGAGTGAACGTGTGAGGAGATAAAGAGAGAAGATGGAGCTCTACAGGTTTCCTCTGAGGCGACCCACAGCTGGTAATAAGAGAGGAGTGCAGCGACGAGGCGGGACAATCAATCTGCTCGGCTAGCGTGTTGCGTTAGCTGGGGAATCACCGGGGGGATTAACATACTCACTACACACACACACACACTCATAATCTATACCCATCCATGCACAGGGGACTGTATGTATGTCATGAAGGGATGTGTGTGACGCTGACAAGATGAAGGGTTGAAGGAACGTTCTGAGGAAGGTGGAGGATGATGATAAACGCACCACTTCTCTGGGGAGGAAGGTGTCCTCCTGCCGAAGAACCAGCAGTACCACAGCCCCCCCCATGGGTGTGGCTCGAAGCAGAGACACCACTTCCTCCTGGGTCCGTCCGTTCAGGTCCACTCCGTTCACCTGCACAGGACACACAGTGACAGGGTTCACATGTATACAGTGGTAGTGGTTGTCGGACGTGGGGGATCGCCGTCCCCCCACTTATTTGGAGCCCCCACTTTTTTGAAGCATGATTTTTTTTTTTAATAGTCTAATAAATATAAAATCATTGCCAGTGTTATCAGTTGCAAGTGTGTATTTGTTGTAATAATGACGAAAACACGATATATTTCACAGTAATTATAATAAAAACGTAGCTCAAGCAATCATTTATGCAACTTGATTTGAAGCGTGTGACCAGGTGTCCCACTTTGTACGGGACTGCACACACAGCATTTTTATCATTTGTCCCGCATCCCACAAATTGAGACTATGTCCCGCATTGAAGTGACAGTCGCGCAGAAAGGCCGGCTCGGTTCGCTGACGGCCGGCACCGCCCTTTATTATTATATTTTTTAAACGGCATCATGTAAGTTGCGCTGACAGTGTACCCCCGTTGATAGTTCACGAGCACGTCCATAGTGTCTTTCTCCCAACCCCCCCCCCGCCCCGTCCACCCAGTAAAAAAATCCCACTGCATTTATATGAGGGGATATTAGTTATATGTGCTTATTGGAATGTTTTAAACCAGATAAAAGCAGAACAATTTAACTTTTGTTGTCCAATGCATTGATCATCAAGATTAGAGTTAAAAATAAACCTGTAATTCAAAGGCTTTATAGTTGTGTGCATTAACTCCATAGAATCAATGTTTTTCAAAATAATTGTGTTTCAGCACAAGGTCAAGAGTATAAAGTGAGTGTAAACATGTATTTGATTTGATTATAAGATGCCCATTTAAAAAAGGTAGATGGAAATTAGTAGTAAAATCCATCAAAACCAGTACCACTCATTTTGGGGTCACACATTTCATAATTGCGTTTTGTTCACCATTAGAGATTCACACATGATGCGTTTAGTTTGACTGCACGTTCACTTTCTCACCTCCAGCAGCCTGTCTCCTGCTTTGAGGCGGCCATCTTGGATAGCAGCTCCCCGAGGAAGAATGTTCTTCACGTAGATGGGCGCCGAGCCGCCGATGGGAACGTCTCGAGAAGTTATACTGAAGCCGAGTCCCTCTGGACCTGAGGGGAGAGGAGAGGAGGTGTGAGGAGAGAAGTGAGAGGAGGTCTGATGATGGAGTCAGGTGTTATCTGGAGGCAGAATCTGAAGCGTCTCCTCTCCATCTGCAGCTCAAACTAATGTGAATGTTTGGATGTGGCTTTGATTAATTACATCATCCATTTGTTTCGCAGTAATAAATCAGAAGCATGTCAGGATGTTAGGAAAACACCTGGATAAAACAATCCATTAGTGATCATAAAAGTTGCAACTCATTTCAAGAGTAAAACGCTGAGACCAGCATTTACGACGGCAACAATGTGCCTTTCCATCGAACCAAAGAAAAGTGAACTTCCAGAATGTACACCACTGACTGTTTGGTCATTCTGGACAGTGTTACACTTTCGAAGAGTGCAAAAGAGAACAACATGCAAGAAGCTATTCTATGAGATGTGTTGCACAACCTTTTTAAAATGTTTTTCCATCCTCTTATCTGAATAGGAAACGGAAGAGTTTTTCTTTCTGTATCCATTTTACAACAAATGGCACCACCCACAAGCAGTCCCCACTAAACCAGCTGTACATATTTCATATTGTAATTCCATTTGATTTAGTTTGTATATATCTGCCATAAGATGTTATCCTTATGAAGCACTCGCAACACAGGCCTGTATGTCATGTCATCATTAATCCTAACAATTTCCTAATATTAAGAAAGTTAAATGCAGGAAATGAAGATACACTTTGTATCCTGTGAGCGGAGAGATCAAGTAGATTTATAGTGAATAATCGGAGTGGGATATTTTGTGAGCCAAGACAATTTCATGCTTTTAAGTTGTACGACAACAATCACAAGCTGCCAGTAAATAAGTTCAGACTTGTATTACTTTAGTCTGATATTTAATTGAACCCAGAAACAAAAAAATCTAAAAGTAGTAAGAACAAATTACAGTCTGTGTGGTTACGGAGGGGAAACTAATATCACGATAAATCATAGTTTTATTCCAGCATTTCCGCATCTGTCAACATTACATTACATGTTACTTGTTAGACGCTTTAATCCAAAGCGACTAACATACTCAATCCCCTCAGGAGCAATTTGGGGTGTCTTGCCCAGGGACACAAGGACATGCTGACTGCAGTGGGGTTTGAACCTGTAACCCCCTGATCCGAAACCAACGCACTATCCCACTGTGCCACACGCCTCATCAACAAGTTATCAATCAAAACACACTAAAGTCCATCCGTCTCCAAAAGCATCCCACCTAGAAACATCCTGCTCTCTGAGCGCTCTGATCAAGGTACTTCATTTTTTTAGAGAAACAAAGTGAATATAGAACCAATCAGCGCTCCTGCAGTCTCAGAGGACTGCCCCTAATCCCCGCTGCCTGTGTGACTGAGCTGATGCAAAGGAAATCAGAACACTTAGCGATTCTGTTTCACATCCTCTACTAATCCCCTGCATTGATGAGCCAATCAACTTCCTGCAGGCAGACAAGGTGTAATGGCCTCCGGTAAATGCCTGCAGTGTTCCTGGCTTTAAACAAGGAGGAGCATCGTTTAAAACTCGCATTATCATGATTGAGACATACCTACGAAGCAATTTCCTGTGCGGAATGGGATTCTTTGATTGATTTTAATATTCAACGGGCTTTGCGACGAGACCGGTGTCTGATTCAAGCTCATAAACAAGGCGGGAGTTTAATCTGCGCTCAAAGCTGTGGGCTTAAATCGGTACTCAAAAGCAACACGGAGTCGCCAAACAGCCTCTTGGGAGTCGCTGGTAATCCTGCTGCAAATGTCTGCTTCAACAACAGCAAACAAAAGGTGGGAGACGATAACATATTTGACTGAGAACATAACAGATCTCCTGGCAGATTAAAGTACTTGAGATGTATGATCAAGCAGACACAGAAAACCAGAGATAAGTCTCAAGCTAGGATGTATAAAGAGAACTGGATACAGTTGCTGAGTGGTGCATAAAGTGTAAAGTGGACCAGCTGTAGATTCAATAAGTTCTCAGACCATTCTGGGTCTTGGGCCCATAGACTATGCACACTTGAATTTTCCTTAAGCCCCGCCTCTGATATTCTGGTCATGGTTCAATAAAATGTATGAAGCCAAAAATTAACTCTGGATTCAGCTTTTTAAACCCTATTTATTTACAGAAGGGATAGTAACTCATTATTTGCACTGAGTTGTTTACACTTATTTACAGACTCCATACCAATTTTAGTTATTAGGCGCTTTCACACTGGAGTACTTTTCCCAGAAATAGTTCCGATAGTTCCTGGGATGTTGCGTTCACACCAAAACATTTTTGTGAAGCCGCCATTTCATTTCCTCGCATTAGCATTATTAGCATTAGCCTAGCGCACCAACGGAGAGACACTAACTTATGGCAACACAAAATAAAACGTGGGATCGGTGGAGTGATGAGGAGGTGTCGGCGCTTCTGGCGATTTACCCAGGGCTTCGGGTGGCGATTTACTGCCACCTAAAGTCCCGGACTCCGGGGGGCTCCGGGACTTAGGGTGGCAGTATACACCGTGAAGTTGCTTGCAGCCTGCCAGTAAACCCAAAGCAGCAGAAGAAGAAGTGACGTCAGCGGCTTCATTTGCGTAATCCTCCCTCAGGGACTTGTGAACGCGATTTACTAGATAGTTCCGGGGAAATAAAAGTTCCGGGAACTATTCCTGGGAAAAGTACTTGGTGTGAAAGCGCCTAATGGAACAATTATTTTTGGGCCTAAGTGATGTCAAGGACTAGAACAGAAGTATAGTTCCATTTTCTTCAGCGACCAACGCACTTAGTTGGGGCTCAATTTCGGATTACTTCCCTTATAGTAAAGTGCCATGTTGTGTACACTTACATAATGATGTGTGTAGCTGTGTCTAAATACGTACACGCCTGCTGTGCGCTAAGCAGTATTGACGATAAGCTAGCTACCAACCAACGATCGTTCACGGTACTAAATCGTTACATACTACTCATCCACCCCTAATAATCAACAAAGGCTTATTTTTTAACACAACTGTAGTAGTATGTTAATCGAATAGTGAAAACAAAATGTATAACTATTATTCAAGTGCTGTGTTTACCAGAGCAACTGCTAACGTGGCTAATCCTACAACTTCCGCTACGTAGCCAAGATGGCAGTTGTTGAGCTTGAGAAGTGTCCAGCGGTCCACAATAAATGTTTGAGCGTTATAGGTGTTCTCCCAGTGCACTACTTTCTATTGGGATGCACTACTGCACTCAAACCAGCCCATTAAAGTAGGCGACTTGAGACACAGCATAGGATGGAGGAACAAGTGGAAGTAGCCGTCAGCTGGGATGGAATATGCATCAACCAGCTGCGTGTTTTCATGTTTTATGTTCTGGCTTCATGCTAGCCCCAAGAGAGGGGGCAGATTTGGGGGGGAAACTTCAACTGGCATATGGTGCAGCCCTGTCAGACTCTTTGCTTCGGCATTTGACAGCACACAGGCTCCAGCGGCTGCTTAGCAACAAGCTATCTGGCCCTGAGACCTGGCACCTGCTCTCCTGTTGGCAGAGGGTTGCTCCACCTGTGCCAGCTGTCAGTCAGAGCCTCCGCCGAGGAGATGTCACCAAAGTTTTATTCCTCTCTGAGTTTCCACCTCCTGGACGCATCAGTATGCTAAACTGCGTGTGTGTAAGCCTGTTACATCATCATGCTCACACTGCTTATAACCAAGTCTGAGCCTTTTCTCCTCAAACGGTTCCTACTCTTGTTTTTGATGCGCCAGGATGGGAGTTGGGACATTGCTTGTTTATTCAGTTGGAATAGAAACACTAGCATCCCTCTAATGTGTAAAGCCTGATGAATGCAAAGCATGAGAGAGAGAGAGAGAGAGCGAGAGAGAGAGCGAGAGCGAGAGCGAGAGCGAGAGCGAGAGAGAGAGAGAGAGAGAGAGAGAGAGAGAGAGAGAGAGAGAGAGAGAGAGAGAGAGAGAGAGAGAGAGAGAGAGAGAGAGAGAGAGAGAGAGATTTTCACAGACCCTCAGGAAAGAATTAGATGATACTTCCAAAACAAAATGATGTAATATATCATGTAGGGAGGTTTTTTTCCACAATAACAAAGAAGAACTTTTTAGATAAAGGAAGTTTCAAATGATTCTGCGTTTGAAGAGAAACTAAAGATGGACTTATCAATCATTTGCTGTCTGTTGCAGGAGATTGCCCTAAAGAGTGGTGCCGGAATAGCTCTTCAACCTTGACATGAGTCAGCATTTTAGCACTTTTGGGCTCTCTCGTCTGGAAGTCAATGTTTTTTTTAATGAGTATCTGTGGGCAACACCAGCTGATGTCTGAAGTGTTCAAGTGTCTGTGGTTGCAAACAAGTGTCTACTTACGACTACTAAACGTCATCACGCCGAACATTAGCTAGCTTTAGCTTAGCGGTGGTGACGTGAAGTCATGTGACCGTGATGTAGTTCCTGCTAAACAAAACTTATAAGTAGCATAAACGTGTGTTTGCCACAGATTATATTTTTAGCAATATTCCAAAATCCAATAGAAAATCCCATTGGCATTTTGTCGAGGGAAACCTTGCAATGCTTACTTCCCGGTTGGGCCTAAAAATATGTGTTTTTAAACATGACTGAAACCTTTGTGTGAACGAACAAACTAAATATTTCAAATGTGTTTTAACTGAGAATCGCAGCCTCTCTGGGCACTAAAGTAATCCTTTGCCCCACCACACCTTTCTTTAGCTGGATGTTGAGCCTCCTCCCGACCTTTTTGGTGAACCCTCCCGTTGGCGTGGCGTTCAGCCCCCTCTGAGGGAGGGGTGTGTGTCCTGTGGGAGGCTTGGCTGCGTTGCCCACCGGGTGAGTCATAGCGGGGAAACCCTCAGTCTGATCTGCTGGAGGATGGGTTTGAGGATGGGGTTGAGGATGGGGTTGAGGATGGGGTTGAGGATGGGGTTGAGGATGGGGTTGAGGATGGGGTTGAGGATGGGATTGAGGATGGGGTTGAGGATGGGGTTGAGGATGTGGTTGAGGATGGGTTTGAGGATGGGGTTGAGGATGGGGTTGAGGATGGGGTTGAGGATGCTGATGGGAGTGTGGGTGCGTTTGAGATCCGTGTCGGGACATCCTGTGTGGGGCGTGATCGTTTCCGGACACGGTGCTTCCGGAGAGAGAGTCGGGGCTGAAACGTCCCGACACGTACGCAGGGTTCCTCTCGGCGTGGGACATCTGCTCGTAGTGCGTCTTCATCGATGTCGGGATAACGTGGAACATGATGACGGGAGAACGCATCGCCTGGCGGAACATGTTCTGAGCTCTGGGACAGAAAGAAGGGGGAGAATTGGAAAGAAGAAAGAGTTGATCATTAGATTACATTGACTTTATTCATTCCGAGCTCCTCTCATTTGGAATCGTCTACCATTTGAGATCCGCGAAGCTATTTCCGTTGACTCCTTTAAAAGCAAATTCAAAACCCATCTGTCTTCCTTGTAAACTAATTTCCATCACCTAGTTTCAATCTACATTACCATCACTTAAGTCACATGCTTTTATCCCATGGCAAGAGTTGTTGTATAATGTTTTCATAATTGTTATGCTATGACATTTGTATTTTGTTTTTGTATTTGCTTTGTACAGCCCTTTGAGGCATTTCTTGTGATTTGGGGCTATGATACATTTTGATTTGATTTGATCACACTTCACAGCAGATTGTTAAAGGACATACCACATATAAGTTGAAGTATATTTTATACATGTTAACATCAAGAACTATATTTTTCTTGTACTGCATATTCTATAGTATAAAATGTATAGAATAAGTTGGCACATTCTCTCTCAATAATAATAATAATAGTGGTAAAACAAAACTGTCCGGGACAAAAAGGGGCGCCAGGAAGAGAATTGGAAAGAAGAGAGAGGGTTGATAATTAGATTGGAATAAATTAGATTGAATTGATTTTATACATCCCAAAATAGTAACTATATATTTTTTTGTGTTGCATATTCTATAATATAAAATCTATAGAATCTCTCTCTATAATAGACAAATCTACTGGTACAAGAAAAGTCGTTTTTTTACTTAAATGTAAATTGTATTAGACTTCCTTAAACCCTAAATACCTTTCTCATCAATTGTTAACTACGCACAAACTTTCCCAGCGCTTTAGAAAACCCATCTCAGCCCACCTGACATGTTAATTAATACTTATTACCAGCGTGAGCGGCTCTAAAAAGAGACCGAAGCCCCCCTCAGCTCCATCGCATAATCCCCTCATTTAGCTCCAGATGAAGAAGACCTCTATCTGTCGGATAGTTTTCACCAAATCCTCTTTTAAACCCCCCCCCCCCCTTCCTTTCTCATGTACAGTAGGTGTGAATGGAGACTTATGCTGGCTGTCAGTAGCAGCCGAGCCTCGTTAGCGCCACCTGTTTCAATAAAGCACATTTCAGTGTGGCTCTGACAGCTGCACGGAAAATACCGGGGTCCGAGAATTTCTATTGCTCCTGAATAACAACTACAATGTCTGTCCCCCCCCCCCCCCCCCCCCCCCCCCCGAGAGACTTTAGTTGTGAAATTCCTGGCCCGTTTTTTCCCAGGCACTAATAACGATCCCTGAGGGTCGGTCTCGGCATCTTTACGAGTTCAGAATTAATCGTGTAGCCGAGAAGATGTTATAAAATAATGCTGTTAAAAAGCAACTGTTGCTGCTTCTGTAGCAACACTGTGTATAGATGCCTTATTCACTGTTCCTTCCTTCACTTGTAACAACACTGTGATATGTATGTATATATACACTGTCATATATGTATGTATATATACTGTCATATATTTATGTTTATATATACTGTCATCTATTTATGTTTATATATACTATCATATATTTATGTTTATATATACTGTCATATATTTATGTTTATATATACTGTCATCTATTTATGTTTATATATACTATCATATATTTATGTATATATATACTGTCATATATGTATGTATATATATACTGTCATATATGTATGTTTATATATACTGTCATATATTTATGTGTATATATACTGTAATATATGTATGTATATATATACTGTCATATATTTATGTTTATATATACTGTCATATATGTATGTATATATACACTGTCATATATTTATGTTTATATATACTGTCATATATGTATGTTTATATATACTGTCATATATTTATGTGTATATATATACTGTCATATATGTATGTGTATATATATACTGTCATATATGTATGTGTATATATATACTGTCATATATGTATGTATATATACTGTCATATATTTATGTTTATATATACTATCATATATTTATGTTTATATATACTGTCATATATTTATGTTTATATATACTGTCATATATTTATGTTTATATATACTGTCATATATTTATGTTTATATATACTGTCATCTATTTATGTTTATATATACGGTCATATATTTATGTATATATATACTGTCATATATGTATGTATATATATACTGTCATATGTATGTATATATATACTGTCATATATGTATGTATATATACTGTCATATATTTATGTTTATATATACTGTCATATATTTATGTGTATATATATATACTGTCAAATATGTATGTATATATACTGTCATATATTTATGTTTATATATACTGTCATATATGTATGTATATATACTGTCATATATGTATGTATATATATACTGTCATATATTTATGTTTATATATACTGTCATATATTTATGTTTATATATACTGTCATATATGTATGTTTATATACACTGTCATATATTTATGTGTATATATATACTGTCATATATGTATGTGTATATATATACTGTCATATATTTATGTGTATATATATACTGTCATATATGTATGTCTATATATACTGTCATATATGTATGTTTATATATACTGTCATATATGTATGTATATATATACTGTCATATATGTATGTATATATACTGTCATATATTTATGTTTATATATACTGTCATATATTTTTGTTTATATATACTGTCATATATTTATGTGTATATATATATACTGTCATATATGTATGTGTATATATATACTGTCATATATGTATGTATATATATACTGTCATATATTTATGTTTATATATACTGTCATATATTTATGTTTATATATATTGTCATATATTTATGTTTATATATACTGTCATATATTTATGTTTATATATACTGTCATATATTTATGTGTATATATATACTGTCATATATTTATGTTTATGTATTCTGTCATATTTATGTTTATGTATATATATATTTGTATATACTTGTTAAATTCAACATGTATATTTTGTACTTTCTTGATTATTTCTAGTCTTTGAATTGTGTCATTGTACATTGCCTTGTCTCTTTATGCTGCTGTAACACAAACATTCCCAAATAAAGTACCATCTTATCGTATCTCTCTTATAACACTGGTGATATACAGTATATACTTTAATGTTAACATTTAGTAATGATATTATTGGTTGCTATCGCGCTACTTGTATTACTTTTATCAGGATGCTACACATGATTTAATGTTGGATGTGTGGTTATATCATTTGTTGTGATTTAATTCTTATTTAATGTGTAAATATGATTTTTATTTGCACTTTCCCTGTTTTAATGGTCCCATTTAAGACGTCCATTATGGCTAAACAGCAGGGTTGAGACCTTTATATATACAGTCTATGGTTGAGACACTATAATGTAACTGGGATTTGATATGATGACAGTCACATTTTGTAAATGTTTTGAATCAAATAAATATTCACATTCTACTGAAATTAGTGGAGAATACAAATCTGAAAAGTCATTTTAAATCCGCAAAAAACGAAACAATCTGTTTTGCAGGAACGTGAAAAATAATCAATATATTTAAAGAAATATTGTTTTTGTTGTCCTTTACTTTTTTTATATAATTATGATGGAGACCTTTAAATAACTGCATCTGAAGTCCCATGAGACACACACATCATATTTCACCTGTGTGTGTGTGTGTGTGTACAGATGTGTGCTTCTTTGCATAATGGTCGCCTCATGGGTGTATCACAAAGCATTGTATACAACACATTCACATATTTAGTATACATGTATGCTGACAGGTGAAAATCAAATCAAAAACAAGTGTGCATCGCTGGATTTTTCAAAATAGCGTTCAGCAGCTCACATGATATACGCAGGCATATAGAAAAGAGGGATGGGGGTAGCAGGTGGGTTTGGTTAGGAAGGTAATGAAAGCAGAGGCAGTGAATATTAGGAGCCTTGTTCCAATTCCAGACAGAGAGAAGTGTTACAACAGGAGTGGTGGAGAAGCTGTCACTGAAACACGAAGGCAGAGAGGATTGCTTCAGCCATTGAGGGTGCGACCTACAGGAATTAAACAGGGAAAGGTTAGCTTAGCGCGGTGACAGAGGAGAAGGTCACAAAGGCACAAGGAGGGAGGATAACAGCAGGAAGAAGCGCTGTAGGTATTAGACCAGGGAGGAAGGGAAGGTCGACCAAACAGGAAGTCCAGCGCTCAGCAGGGTCTTACTGTTCGAAGCGGATGTTCCGCAGGTCTCCGTTATTGATACGGACGATACAGTCGTTCTCCTGGAAGAGGCCCTGCTGCTCGGCCTTGCCTCCGTTCTCCAGACGCTTGACCAACAAGCCAAGAGTCCTGAAAGGTTCAAAAGGTTGTGTCAACAGGAGGAAAGACGGTGGGTTCAATATGGACTGAGCTGGTGGAGAGTAGGGGGTTCTGGAGTGGAATTACAACCACTGGACGTTTCTTTGATCAAAGCTTGAGGGTTTCACATTGGATTCCTGACAGCAAATTGACTTTGAAATGCTTCTCTTGGTTTCTAAAGCGCTGAATGGTTTAGGGCCAAAATATATTTCTGATGTCCTGCTGTGAAGCATCCAGAAGTCTGCTGTCTGTCCCCGGAGTCACAACTAAACAGAGAAGCAGCGTTCAGCTTGTATGCTCTGTATATCTGAAACAACAATGCAATGTTACTTTATTCTATTTAAGCTTATTGTACTTGTGTTTATTGGCCTCTTGATCATTGTTTTAAATGTGACTTGATAATGGGTTTATTTTTGTCTTAACGCTTGTTGCCTTGTCGCTGAAATGTGCTTGATCAATAAGTGTGTACCGAGCAAAAAGTAAACTAATATCATATATTAACATTCCCAAAAGGCTAATACATGTCACCTGAATATATGAAATTGCTGTATTTTCGACGTAATGTTATTTGACATGCTTTGTTCTGTTGCATATGTAATAGGTGGTGTTCTTTGATACACATATTCCTCTTCCTCTGGTCAGGTGGCTCTCCAAAATCAGCCTGTGCCATCTTAATGACATGCTGTTCCGTCTAAAGAACTAAATGAATAGAGGGATGGCTTGTTGCAGCCTCTGCTCAAACACGTACTTGAGCATACAGTGCGGTCCTGTCATTTACATCATCAGAGTACCGACGAGGCTTATGAGAGAAAGCAGTCGCATCACCTCAGGGTGCTGAAGAGGCTGTGTGGGGGCGGCTTCTATTCAAAGGTAATCAACGCTCTGAAAACTCCACGGTAGCTGTGATGTTTTTGCAGGTGTTAATTTTCGAACCCCGAGGACTCCTGCGTCACTATGAGCGCACAATAAACAAAGTGCTTTCAGTAAGCAGCACCATTAAGCTGTGATAACGAAAGGCAGCGAATATGTTCTATCAGTCTGTAGCACTTCAACCGTGCTGAGCTGAAAATGTTGTCGCCTGTAATCCGGCGTGGAAAACGGGCTTATGGCTCCACAGCCAGAGACTAACTGCACCTGAAAGGCCGCTTGACGGATTATGGATCCGAGTGTGAGGGAGAAGGAAAGACGAAACAAACCTAATCGAGTCTTCCCCGGAATAAAGTGTGAGTTTTCTGAGGAAGTACGAGCGAGTGTCTCCGAGGTAAATTGGGCTGATTTTAGGGGTTTAATGCTGGCCCTCGCCTGGGGCTTATAATTCAATATGAATGCGATTACGCAGAGGGCAGAAAAGTTCAGGAGTTTAACAAAGTTCAGAGACAATTCCACGTGAGAACACAATGCGGTTTTGCAGCGCATAGGCTATTTCTCTGATGAAAGCCGGGCATCTCAATCTTGGGATAACGACTACTCTGACATTTCCCCAATAAAAGAAAAGTGCATTATAAATGTGCTTTTAGGTTGATTAAGTCAGGCGGTGGGGAAAAGTGATCTTGATTTTCAATAAGGCACGACAGTGAGTTTGGAGTCGCTGAGTGTATTTGTGAGTCTCGAGGACAGAGTCAAACTGAAATAAAGTTGAGATGTTTGTGAAGCTGCTGATGGCAGAAAACTGCTACAAATGTAATAATATAACAACCTTTTACGTATTTAAAACTGTTTTTACACTCTTGTTCTATTCCTTCAATAATGAGAAGGAGATATTTAGCTCATAATCTTTATTGTTCTCATACTGCCAGTGCTGCAGCACCTTTGTTCACCCTCTGTCTGAAACCAGAGCCCAGTCTGCTCTGATTGGTTAGCTGGGTTGCTCTGTTGGGATTGGTCAACCGCTTAGAGATGTCCCGCCCCCTAGCCTATCACGTACCATGTGTTGGAGCGCTAGCGCGGGATTAGTTGGATCATAAACTCCAAAAACGGCACTCTGGGTGAATTTAAACCAGATGTTAAATTCCTTTAATTCCTTCACAGCTTTGATCCAGCTGTGTATGTGTAACTGAATGTTTTGGAGGGGTGTGTGTGTGTGTGTGTGTGTGTGTGTGTGTTGTGCGCACTGCTCAACGTATCCTTTGTAATGTGAAAAGCTGATGTGACAGCAGCCACAGAGAAATATGACAGTCACCTGCAAGCCCTAAACAAGCATGATTGATCACTGTAAACCAGCAAATGGCTTCATGATGTCTGCAATGCTAACCTGTGTGTGTGTGTGTGTGTGTGTGTGTGTGTGTGTGTGTGTGTGTGTGTGTGTGTGTGTGTGTGTGTGTGTGTGTGTGTGTGTGTGGGATTGAGGTTTGTTTGAGTGATGAAGTGATTGCACATGGGCATTAAATAGGAATGTATGGTATGCAAGCATGGTTGTGTGTGTGTGTGTGTGTGTGTGTGTGTGTGTGTGTGTGCGTGTGTGCGTGTGTGTGTGTGTGTGTGTGTGTGTGTGTGTGTGTGTGTGTGTGTGTGTGTGTGTGTGTGTGTATGTGTGTGTTGTAGACCTCAAAAAGCCCAAATGACTGCATTTAAAGCCTTTTTTACCAAAACAACAAATAAATGTTCGTCTACCAAACTGAAAAGTATTTAACTAAAGGGAGAAAGTGCTCCGTTTTCTCTCTTTGTATTTGTATTTAAAAGCTGTCGGATGTACCACTTGGGCTTTCTGCTGCAAAACTCACAATTATTTAATTTTTTTAATGGTGGAAAAAAGTAAAAATCCAACATAAGTCAAACTAATATTCCTCGATTCAAACACAGCATGTTTAAGGTCATAGCTGTCAATGTATACACTCATTTATGTATATATAATATTATAATATTAAGGACAGTTTATAATAAAACCTGCTTTTATGGACTTGTGTTTTGTATCGTGCACCTCACATACTCTTACTTCTTTCAACATCATGTTGTTGTAATGCATATTATTTGTTGTATCTTAATCTTGCGTCTCTCTAAATTGTGAATATTAACATCCCTTAGGTGGACACTCTTACGCCCGGTGGGTACTACATTAATGATGACCTCTGTAATCGTCTCTTCTTCTCTCCCGTGTGAAAGCACCATGGCTTCTCTCTGATATGTTAATATATTGTTTACCTGCGGTCCTTTCCACTGAAAGGCACCACGTGGATCCCCAGGGGCCCGCCGTCGTTTGACACCTCCACCAGTTTGATTATGTCTCTGGGAGACGGTGACGGATGGAGGGGGGAGGAAGGGAGTGCAGAGGAGAGGGGTGACACCATGTGGGGAGAAACAAAAACAGGAAATGAGATGATGATGTTGGTGATGGAAGAAAGAAAAATGACAACAACGGAAGGGTGTCAATAAATCCAAACGGAAAGCAGGAAAGAATCGGAGGAGACCGACAAAAGAAAGACGGTAAATCAAATCAATCTAACACGTGTGAGGGACAACAAGCAGCACTCACACATTAGACTGAACACACATGTCAAAGGGAACCGTCAGAGACTGAGGAGTGCTTTTTGTAAGGGTGCAAATGAACTGAATTGCAGATGTTGTACTTATTGGTAGAGGGGGAATCTTTAATCCTAGGATTAACACATGTCTACAATGTGTGAGACTGCCCTTCTTTCAGCAAAGGCAAACCACACGAGAAGTATTCACAAGGCAATGCTAAAGGGATAATATTAGTGAATGTGTGCCGGAATCAGAGATAGAGGGAAAAGCTTGTTGTATCACTCTGTGCGCTATGAAGTTACACATGATCTAAATATCTTTGTAAATAAGGAAATAAGTCGGACATGATATACCTAATTCAGATGATTGTGAGGGTTGATGAAGCCGACTATAATGCTTGACAAGCCTTGATCCATTTAGTAAACAAGCATTCTTGAAAGTTGTGTGCTTGTCCGCTTCCAAACATACCTGACAAATCATGAATTCAGGCTTTTTACAAATTGGCATGATACTACTGTATATTCATATCAGCTACATGTTGATCTGTTTATGGCAGGGGTGTCAAACTCAAGGTCCGGGGGTCAAACTCAAGGTCCGGGGGCCAAACTCAAGGTCCGGGGGTCAAACTCAAGGTCCGGGGGCCAAACTCAAGGCCTGGGGGCCAAACTCAAGGTCCGGGGGCCAAACTCAAGGTCCGGGGGTCAAACTCAAGGTCCGGGGGTCAAACTCAAGGTCCGGGGGCCAAACTCAAGGCCTGGGGGCCAAACTCAAGGTCCGGGGGCCAAACTCAAGGTCCGGGGGTCAAACTCAAGGCCCGGGGGCCAAACTCAAGGTCCGGGGGCCAAACTCAAGGCCCGTGACTTCATTCCATGTGGCCCCACAAGAGCTTGCAAAGAATAATATGTTTATTATAAATGCCGATTTACAGAAGCATGTTGTCCATAAACTACATGTCCCACAATGCATCTCAAATTAGAGTTTTATCTCAGAATTTCCTTTTTTTCTTCTAAATATGCCGTTTGTTTTTGTAAAAGTAACTTATTTGTCCAAAATGTCACTTATTTCTTTTCAATTTCACTTATTTTTTTGATTTTGACTTTTCTTCCAGAATGTGGCTTTTCCTGTTAAATCATTTTGTGACATTCTCACTGAAGAGACTTGCAATTATTTTCCCTAGACTTCTGCTTTCAGACGTAGTTAATTATGAAGTTATTACCCCATCCGATAATAATCCAATGCAGAGGCAATGATGTCATACAATACATTATTTTATATATATGATATATTTATATACGTATTTGTATATAGTCTTAAAGTTACAACCGGCCCTTTGAGTGCAACCTTAATGCTGATGTGGCCCGCGATGAAATTGAGTTTGACTCCCCTGGTTTATTGCAATACAATCAGATCAGAATCGGTTTATGTTGGGTTCATCTCGCCGTAGTGAACTAGGTAGCCATGCAAAGTGCCTTGTCGCGGGTAAACAGGAATAAAACAGACTTGCGTCAGTAATGCAAACTACTTGGTTGAACAAACAGCCTTAACAATGAAAGCTGACGGAGCCCGAGGCTGTTTATCATTTAATTGCATCCATATGCAGATGAAAAGTGTCGATGGCATCCGTTGACCCTCCGTTAAAAGCACTGAACACATTATTCACGGCTATTTGCTTTAGTGATGCAGCGTTCTTCACCTGATCGCCTGTGAAACATGCACACACAGGAACATTTGACAAGATGCCAAATCTAATCTGCCCACAGCTTTGATACAATGACTATGATTAGCTCGGGGAAAATGGGCCCCTTGTTGACAACTAAGAGGCGGGAGAAGCCAGAGTCTCTGGGAAATCATAGGAATAATAACAATACCATACCTGCATATTAAACTGGAAGCATGCAACAGAGCAAAATGAAAAAACACAACACAGTGGTTAATAACAGGAGCTGAGCGGTGAGTGCGTGGGAGAGCTCCGGTGGCGAGACGACGAGCAGTTTGCCTCCACAAAAGAGAATTATGCAAATCAGGACGCAGGGGTTGAGATGAGATTCTCCACAAACAACAGATTATTATACAGAACTGCTAGGCACTTGTTATGTAGAGACAGAGAGGAGATGGATGCTGTACCTGGTCAACTTTGAAGGGAAAATGTCGTTTTACACATTTTGTTATAGTTTTAGAAATTGTTCTTGTGATTGTGCTCTTGTGAAAATGACAACATCCCTCTCTGAATTGTTGATTACCGTGACTGACACGATGCCCTTATGTGTTGTCTGTTAACTAAGCCTCAATCTAGCACCACGACAAACTCAAGTGCTCAATGTGCGTTGTACTTTCTTGAATAAATGGACAAAAGTAGAGAGAAAGAGGAGATTTAAAACACAGCATTATGGGTTGTCGGGGTTATGCAGGTGTGTTGATGAAAAATGGGTTTGATAGCAAATCCTTCTCCATTCAAAAAAGTTACAACATATAAACAAATATCTTACGGACAAACACTAAAAAGTTGGAAAGATGGCTTGAAGCTGAATCCAGTAATAGTGTCTCGCTATTGGACAATATGAAGCAGGTGGGTGTAAAGGAAACACTAATGCAACTACACTAGGAATCTTAAGATAGGTCACTAGAAAAGAGTTGTCTCTTAATAAATGTTGGAGAACATAAATGCTTAGTTTCAGCAGGAAGGTGAGGACACGCTGACCTCTGACTGAAGCACTTACTCTAGCGACCTCACGGGGGTGTGGTCCATGCAGGAGTCTGCTCGACCAATCGGCTCGGTCCGACCGTTTTCTTCTTCTCTGGCCTCGTCCTCCTGCAAGAGAGCAAACGGAGCAAAGGCAGAGTGAGATACAGTCTGTCAGAAAGCGTTATCTCTATTGGTGTAAGCTGTCAGTCAAAACAAGTTGAGCCTGAATCAGGACTTGTGATGTCTGACTCTTCAACAACGTCCTTAACCTTCAAATACTCATTCAGTGGAGAAATGACGCCGACCTGACGCTGTAAAGTCGAGCAGATCGGAGGGCTTCCACAGGTGTAAAAATACATGCCCTTTAAAAATGATTATGCATTCAAAATGTCTTTGTTCTCGTCTGGTATCAACTTGGTCTGTTTGAACACACACACACACACACACACACACACACACACACACACACACACACACACACACACACACACACACACACACACACACACACACACACACACACACACACACACACACACACACACACACACACACACACACACACACACACACACACACACACACACACACACACACACACACACACACACACACACACACACACACCACACACACACACACACACACACACACCACACACACACACACACACACACACACACACACACACACACACACACACACACACACACACACACACACACACACACACACACACACACACACACACACACACACACACACACACACACACACACACACACACACACACACACACACACACACACACAGCAAAGAGGAGAAAAATGAGACGCAAAGAAAAGGTCATTAAAATTTCAGGGCGAAACCGGAGAGGAGAGACGAGCGAGCAGCGGCAGCCTCCCCGGCAACCGGCCGCCTCATCAGTATGAAAATGAGCCTGCAGTTACAGAGGCTGCTGTTACCGAGGCTGCTGTACGGTTGCCATGACACTTGGGGTGCCTGGAGGACGTACAGCTACAGCGTAAGAGTGAGAGTGAGAAACTGTGTGCAAGGACTTGTGACTGCCACCATTCAGGGGAGCAGTCTTCCCTTAAAGCTAGAAGTGCAGAACAGGAAGTCTTGGAGAGATGGAGATGCAAATTGTCAGAGTAGAGACACTTAATACACATATCAACCTAAACATGAGAACACCAGGGCCCCTTTAAAAGGAAGAAATGCTGTCCCTGCTGCTCCATCTCTCGCTATCTACCGTGAGGATACACATTCAGAACAGCAACAATCCTTCAGGAGGGTTATTTGAGAGAGAGAATATTATATATAGTATATTATATGTTGAAGACTAAGAAGCCCGTTTGATCTGTGGACAGCAGCACTGTCTTTCAAGATTGTGGACAGCACCATGAAGGACTTTAGTTAAAATATGTGAGCATTCATAAAGAGAATCTTGCCAAACAATGTAGTGTATAGTGCAAGCCTTTGATTTACTAACTGTATAGATCTGTTTCTCTTAAATGCATGGAGGGGCAAAGCACCCATGATCAGTTACAAGAAGACACAGAGGCCACATGAAGAGCAGAAGCAGAGAGACCATCACAACTCAGATCTAACACTTTTTCAATATGTATCAGGAGAC